CTTGAAGTGTGTTGTTGACGAAGCGTGAAGTACGGGCGATCGGCACTGTGTGAAGAGGATACCGTCGACGAGGACGACTTGGACAGCTGCAGCGCCCACACCATCGAAGGTGGTCGGTCTTCCTTGGCCTCCGTGTACTTGCCCCATATGCAATATTGCAATATTGTAAAGCTTGCGACTCAGGCGATCGCCGATTGAGATCTGGCGGATCGAATCGGCAAATCAATGCCGGTGCCCGATTGGTTGTTTGTATCGACCATAGCCAATCAGAGAGGTCGGTGCACGCTGCATTGACACGGCTTTTGTCCGGATATTACTATGCGGATGGTATTTGATTGGTTAAAACCAGGTGCAAAATCACCCAATGGCGCGACGAATAAAAACGCCACGCTGGCGTCGTCGCCCCATCTCCAAATCCGTAAATCCAGGATGCTGATTCTGCCGACGCTGGATGCGTTCACCGTGCGGGCCATGGTCCCCGGCGTGCTCGAGACGCCGGTCGCCTTGACGCTGCGCCCGGACTGGACGGTCGCGCTGGCCGTCGAGGCCCTCGAGATGCAGCTGCTGGCGACGCGCGGCCTCGCGATGCGCGTCGTCTTTGTCTTCAACGACACGCGGGCGCCCGAGCGCATGATCCCGTTCCACGAGACGATCGCCAACCACTTTGGCGCCGACGACGGCTTCTACGCCTTTGGCGAGGTGTACACGCCGTCGACCACGCGCGGCGCCGCGCCGGACGAGACCTCGGCCAAGGCCAAGGTACCCGTCGTCATCATGACGGGGTTCCTCGGTGCGGGCAAGACGTCGCTGCTCAACAACCTCCTCTTCCAGCAGCGCACGCTCAAGATCGCGGTCATCGAGAACGAGTTTGGCGAGGTCGCGATCGACAACGACCTCCTCGCGTCGCACGCGCTCTCGGTCGCCGACCAGCTCATCGTGCTCGAGAACGGCTGCATGTGCTGCACCGTGCGCGGCGACATCCTCGGCGCGTTCGCTTCGATCCGCGACAAGGTCGTCAATGAGAATGCGCATTTGGACATGGTGCTCATCGAGACGACCGGCATGGCCGACCCGCTCCCGATCGTGCGCACGATCACCAACACGCCGGCGATCACCGAAGCGTTTGGCATGAAGGGCATTGTGACGGTCGTGGACGCGTGCAACATTGGCCAGCTCCTCGAGGAAGAGAACCCGGAAGCGCTGTCGCAGATCCTCCTCGCTGACCTCATCGTCGTCTCCAAGACCGACCTGGTCCACACGCGGGCCGAGCTCCTCTCGCTGTTTGAGACGCTGCGCGAGATGAACCCGAGCGCGCGCATCCGGCCGTGCGTGCGTGGCAACATGCCATTTGATGTGTTTTACCAGCTCACGTCGTTCGACTTGCAAAAGATGGCCCTTGACGAAAGCAACGAGATGGACGCGGCGGGCCACGAGCACTGCGATGAGCACTGCGACCACGACCACGACCACTGCGACCATGAGCACGACCACGACCACGCGATCGCGCCGGCACCGAAACAGTCGCGCCACGGGGCCAAGACGTCGTCGTTTGCGATCGTCTTGGACGACCACGCGGTTGACATGTTCCTCTTTGCCCAGTGGATGCGGCGGTTGGTGTTGCCGGTCAAGGACGGCGACGCGGCCAAGCAGCGCCTGTACCGTTGCAAGGCCATCTTGTCGGTCGAAGGCGTCGAGAACAAGCTCGTGTTCCACGCGGTCGGCGACGTCGTTGAGCGCGAGTGGCTGCCCGTCCCCAAGGCGCACGGATGCAAGGTCGTCTTTATCGGCCGCCACCTCATGGAAGAGAGCCTCCGCGCGCAGTTTATGGCGATCGTCTACAAGCCGTCGCGCCGCCTGCAAGTGGCCGTGGCCGCCCGGGGCTTGGAAGGACTCTCGGTGCCGCTGCTGCGCCGACTCGGGCGCTTCTTGACTTCAGACGATGTGCTGCGCATCGCGCAGACGAGCCGGGCGCTGCACGCGGCGTGGGCGTACACGGGGCAGCCGTATGGTGGTGCGAGCGACTTGACTGCGTTCCAGGACCTCAAGCGCTTTTACGTGCATCCGTTTGTGCCGGTGCCGGCGCTGCCGTCGTTTTTGCGGGCGTGGAAGCGGGCGGCCGTCGACGTGGTGGGGATGTCGACGGTCAAATACCGGTCGCCGGCGCACGTGGACGCCGCGGCCGTCGCGTACCTCGAGCTCGCGCGCCTGGCGGAAGCGTCGAGCCGCAACTTTCTCATGGACTTTACGTGGCGCGAAGAGACGTTAAACACGTTTTTTGCGACGCCGACCGCGACCACGAGCTCGACGCTGATTAAAACCGAGTACGAGTACGAAGACGAAGACGAGTTTGACCCGATCTGCGACGTCATTCGCTTCCGACTATATCTCGTGCCGGACGCGACCGGCCACCGCCTCGAGATTCAGATTGTGGGCGGGAAGACGTCGTCGCAGATCTACCAAGTGTCGTTCCACTCGATCCACCCGAATTTCCAGGTCCACGTTGCGATTCCCGACCACCGCATGCCCCGCGTCGCGACAAAAGAGGTCTTTTACCCCGGCCACCCGTTCTTGCATGCGCTCAAGACAGAGCGCTCGCTGCGCTTCGTCGTGCGCGTCAAGCCCGACGGCAGCGGCCCCCTCGGCGAAATGTGCGGTTGTTGCTAGTTGGCAGTGAAACCGATATGTCTACATACACGTTTATGTCTACATATGTACGTCTCCTCTATCCGCACTTCTTGCGGCTAGGTGCACAGTGCATAAGGTTCATCCAACGTGCTGTTGTTTCAGTGAGCAAATGCCATATCGTCCTTGCTCGAGGCTGGAATGCATGGCTCAGTCAGTTAGAAGGAGCGTACTAGTACGGCCCACTTGCCGCGCTGTTCTGGGCCACGTTAATCCTGGCGGTGCTCTCATGCACCGAGTGCACAAGCATTATTTTTCTACTTCTAATGGTTTACATGTAAACTACATACTAGTATCGCTCTTGGAGAATGGTTGTTGTGGAAGGAGTTGTAGCAACTAGTTTGTTGCATCGAGTCTCCAATAACCGTCGCGAAACCGAACGGTTATGGCTTGTGTCTTCGATTCATTTATCTTCGAACTTTGTGGGGGGTGGGTGTCTGTAAAATGCATTTTCGGGGGACCACCCCTGCGGTGCGTCGTCGTTGGCCAGTGATAATATTACATTGGCAAAGTCCGAGACGACGATGAGCGACGTGAGCAACAGCGTGTGCGCAAGCCCTGGCTGCGGCAAGCCGGCCAAGATGGCCTGCCCGACGTGCAAGAAGCTGGGCGTCCCGGCCAACATCTCGAGCTTCTGCTCGCAGGAGTGCTTCAAGAGCTACTGGCCGCAGCACAAGGGCTTCCACAAGATCTTTACGCAGTCGCAGACCACCGACAAGTTCTTTGGCTACCAGTTCACGGGCGACATCCGCCCGGGCACCGTCACGCCCATGAAGACCGTGCCGGACCACATCCAAAAGCCCGACTACGCCGTCAGCGGAATCCCGGTCTCGGAGCAGGCGGCTGACCGCAGCAACAAGATTCCCGTCTACTCGGCCGACGAGATTGCGGGCATCCGCGAAGCCTGCCGCATTGGCCGCGAGGTGCTCGACATTGCGGGTCGCTCGATTCGCATTGGCATGACGACCAACGAGATCGATGAGATCGTCCACGCCGCCTGTATGGAGCGCGAGGTGTACCCGTCGCCGCTCAACTATTACCATTTCCCCAAGTCGGTCTGCACGTCGGTCAACGAAGTCATTTGCCACGGAATCCCCGACAGCCGCCCGCTCCAGGATGGTGACATTCTCAACATTGACGTGACAGTCTACAAGAACGGCTACCACGGTGATCTCAACGACACGTTCTTGGTCGGCAACGTCGACGAAGAGGGCGTCCGCCTCGTCAAGAACTCGTTCGACTGCCTCGCCGCCGCCGTGGCAATGGTCAAGCCCGGCACCATGTACCGCGACCTCGGCAAGGCAATTGCGCTCGTCGCGGAAGCCGAGGGCTTCTCGGTCGTCAAGACGTACTGCGGCCACGGCATCGGGTCGCTCTTCCACACGGCGCCCAACGTGCCGCATTACGCCAAGAACAAGGCGGTGGGCATCATGCGCCCAGGCCACATCTTTACGATCGAGCCGATGATCAACGTCGGGTCGTGGCGCGACGGCCGGTGGCCGGATGACTGGACGGCCGTCACGACCGACGGCAAGCGCTCGGCGCAGTTTGAGCACACGATCCTCGTGACCGAAACGGGCTACGAGCTCCTCACGGCCCGCCAGGACGAGCCCGTCATGACGTGGGACCTCGCCAAGGTCCAGCGCGGCTTGTAAACACTGCGGAATAAACACAGTGTTTGTTTTGCATGGATGCATCGCCCAGCACTGGGCAACGATGGTAGACCGTCGTCCTGGTAGATCTGGTGAGATCATGGATGTCTCAAGTCGACAAGTTGCGGCGCAGATGGACGCGATGCGTCGAGAGCAGTTGAAGGCAAGGTCATGCAGCGTTGAGCCTTGTCCCCCGAACCCTCCGCTCTACGTCGGCTACGAGGTTGCCACGAGAAGCGTTCCTCGTTCATTAATCCACTCCAGCAGCGTTGCTCGAGGTTGACATATCAAAGCAATGTCTTGTTGGCAGGAAGCTTGTTTCATGTATCATGCAGAAGCAGCGAGTGCTCGCAGAGGTCTTACGACGCTTCCGTGGGCGTGACGGTCCACTGGAAGAGGCTGCGGTCGACGCCGCCGATCGAGTACAACTTGGTGCCATCGGCGTTGAAAAGGACGCCCGTGATTTGGCCGCCATGGCCCATGAGGGCGCCATACGCCATCTACAATGTCGTCCGACCTCGTTCGAATCCAGAAAAATCGTACGTTTTTGGACAAGCATGGAAACGAGTGCAGCGAGAGCTCGCCGCGGTCGTTGCCACTGACCATCATCTTGGCGTCGGGCGCCACGCCGATGGCGTGAATGTAGTCTTGCGAGTCGCCCCAGAGACCTACACGAACGTCTACATACATATCACTGCCAAGCTGAAGACCTTGCGCCGCCCACGAGAGCACACATGTGTGCGTGGCCCAGTCGACGTCTCGAAGCGACGACGGGCTCGAGATCCAAGCGCCATCAAACGCATTGACTAGCATCAAGGTCCCATTCGACTCTAGATGTGGAGCGCTTCGTACCGTAAAGCAGCTCGAACGCGTCGCTGTTGGCGCGCAAATACCGACTGTCTTTGGAAAAGTCGAGGTGCGTTATGTGTCTACCATAACAGAATGAAAGTCGGAGCTAGGATAACTGGCTGTAGGAACACGTACCCCGTGCTCTTGGTGCATTTGGAGCGCAGTGCGTAGTTGTCCATGACCCCGTGGAGGTAGATGGTGTTGTCGTGCGAGCTAGAATCTCATTTCGGTAACCAGCTCTTGTCAACACGAATATACGGACCCGATCGCAAGAAGTGTACCGTCGGGCGAGAACTTGATGTCGCTAATGCTCTGCTTGGAGTCTCGACCTTCGTGGAGGATCTCAAGCGTCGTCGCATCGAGCACTGCAAACTAGATCATTGAAAGGTTGAAACATCGAGTATAATGAAAGAACGCGCACCGCGCCTTCCTTGAGTTGCCCGGAGGCCTGCGACGCGCTTCCGAGACCGATCGCAATCGACTTGCCGTCGGCCGAGAATGTCACAGCCTTGATGGGCGTATCCATGACAACCTTGCCGATCTAGTCCCGAAATATAAATCGACAAATGACGAATCCGTAGAGGTGAGGAATATACGAGTTCGTGCTGGGTGCTGTTCCAGACCCGCAAGGTGCAGTCTTCGCCGCCCGTTGCGACGATGTGAGGTAAAGTCGGGTGGGCTGCCAGGCCAAAGAGGCCATGCTCGTAGTGGGACTCGAGCACCAAGTTGGTGTCGCCGCTGGCTTGACTGAGCTCGTAGATTTCGCCACCTACCACCACACGCATTATACAATAGCCACCAAGTACTCATGGCGTCGACGAACCGCGGGTGCCCACGAGGAAGCGACTCTCGGCGAGGTCCCATGCGACACTGCGAATAATTGGGCTGCTGCACGCAGGCTTGGCTTGGCACAAGTCAAAGTCCCAGACAGGGTTCAAAAGTCGGTTCCAGACTTTGACGTGCCCGTCGGCGCTACCGGACACGACGCCTAGAGAACAATGTACAACTCGAAATGAGAGAATTGAGTCAAATACCTTCTTTTGTCACAAAGAGGCTGTTGACGGTGCTGTTGTGGGCCGGCACGGACCGCTCGACGACCGACGTATTGCAATCCCAGAGGTACAAGTGCCCTGTCCGCGTCCCTACCGATAGAGTTGATGGGAATTTGAAACGACATTCTTCTCCACATACCCGTGACAATGGTGCCCTTGTCCAGCGCCCCACCGCACGTCAGTGTTTGGATCTGGGCTTGGGTGCCAAACGTGCCCATTGTCGGGTGCAAGCTCGGGGGATCAAGGCGCCAAAAGAAAATATGGTCGACGCCGCCCGAGACCACGTCAAACATGCTCTGCATGTACGGCAGACAGGTGACGAACCGCGTCTACGACAATTCTGTGCACACTATCGTTCGAGAGATGTGGTACCGGCAAGTGGGACGTGCGGGCCGATGCAAGAATGCGGGCGTCGTGCCAAAGCCCTGACGCCGAGCCGTAGACGACGAGCGAGTGGTACGTGTCCTTGCCGACGCTCACGAGCCGCGTCGCGGTCTCATTGAACGTCAAGTACACGATGGCTTTGGTATGACACGCCGGCAACACCTATACCGTATTTATCATCGATCTTTTGCAAAATAGTCAAAAATCAATAAAAACATTGTACCGCAATCGGCGTACACGCCGTGGGATCCCACACGTGAATGCGCGGCAACTCGAGCGCTGTGGTGACCGTCATGATCTCTTCACCCGTCGCGACGACGAGGCCGTCCGGGGACATGGCCATCGAAATGATGGGTGACGCATGGCTCGTGTAAAAGGCCTGCGAGTGGCGCTTCCGGTCGTAGCTGATGCCGACGCGACCGGACGCGTTCACAATGCGCTTGGCTTTCGAGTACTGCGCGAGATTGCGCATGTCTTGGAGCCGCGCGCCGTAGACAAAATCGAGCTCAAAGCTGAGGCTCGGCGCTGTGGGCTCGTCCGGAGCTGTGGTCGGTGGCACAAGCCCCGTCAGGTACGGCTTGGTGCCTAGTTGATGTCCATGAAACGCAATTCGAATGCAAGTCGACCAAAGCTACCTGCAAAGGGCTTGACGCTCAGTGGTGTCGGGAGGAACCAGCCCTCGGTTTCGAGGTCCGTGTCGGCATCCACGACCTTGGCCCTGTTGGCCTTATCGGGCTCTGGTAGCTCGATCGAGTACGCCTTCCACTGCATGACCGCATGGTCATTGAGTCCGACAGAGAGCAGATGGCTCTTGTTCTGCGTGAACGAGAGGGCTTGGATTGATCCCGCGTGCCCGAAAAACGATTTGGACGGGAGGCCGTCCCGGACGCAAGGAAATCTAGGCCCGTGTGTACATTGCGTCGACTATACAAACATTACCGAAAGAGCTTGAGCGCGCCTTGGGTGTCGCCAACGACGAGGGACGATCCATTGGTCGTGCTAGCCGAGACGCTCGTCTTCTTGGCACTTGGTGGCCATGCGCCCTGGTTGGACCTACACCCCATGTGCCGCCCTGGCCGGGACGTAGCGAGGGCGTACCAGTTGAAGATAGTCGAACACGTGTGCCACGTTTGGTTCTTGAGCGCTGTCGCACTGGCAACATGGGACCCCGTCGTCAAGTCGGCAAAGAGGAGCTCGTAGCCACCACAGTTGCTCTACATCCGACATATGCTCCATACTGGACGCTTCGGAGGATAGCAACGTACACGCAAGTACTGCGCGTCGGTCGAAATATCGACGTGCGTGATAAAGCTACACCAGTCCTTGTGTTATGCTGAGAGACGAATGCATTTGCATACCTCTTGTGCTTGTTAAAGGTCGCGCGCTTGGCATACTCGTTGGGTACATCATAGACGTAAATGATGTTATCTTGGGCGCCGACGACCAGCGAGACGCCATCGGGGGAGTACCGAATGACGGAGATTGGCTGCTTGGTGTCGCGGGTTTCGTGCAAGATGTCTAGTTGCCGAGTCACATTCATGCATAGTTAGCAAGGTATCAAGGTACCAAGACTCAGGACGCCGTCGTTGAGCTTTTCCTCGTAAATGAGAAGCGTTCCGTCCTTCTTGTGTCGGTTCTTTTTCGGGTCGCCGCCAAGTCCGACGGCCAAGTACGCGCCTTCGGGGGCGTACGCGACCGCGCGCGACGACGTATCGAGTGCAAATTTGAGGATGCACTTGTGCTTGTACGTGTCCCAGACGCGGAGCGTGCCGTCGTCGCCGGTCGTGACGGCCTTGTCTGCTACCGCGCTTAGTATCAAGTTGATACATTTGAATCGCGTACCCTTGGTCGGCGACACGGTCAGGCCTTGGATCTGGCCCTGGTAGTGCATGTCCATGACGGTCGTCATGATGGTACCGTCGCTCGCATTGATCTCGTACACGCAGCTATCCCGCGTCCCAACGAGCAGTGTTTGGCGCTCCGTATGCCAGAGCAGTGACCGGATCGGTTGTTGGTTGCACACGTTGAACTGGTTCAAGCACTCGAGCTCCGAGGTCCAGATCTAGAAACGCACGTCATATCTCCAACGTATGGCACCGACGAGATACCTTGATGAGACCGTCACGACCGCCGCTGCAGACCGAGCCATTCGTACACGCGTAGAGTGCGGCTACGCTCCGGGTGTGGGCCGGCACGATGGTCACGAGTTCAATCCCTGCATGTTCATTCGTTGTACACCTCTTCAATCTGCGTGACGAACCTTTGAACTTGTAGAGCTCGCCGCTCGTCGAGCCTGCGATCGCGTCGGGCCCGACAAAGATGATGCTCAAGAACGGCTGGAGGTACCCGCGCTTTCCAAAGACTGCGTGCTTGCGCGTGACGTTTCTGCCCACAACGCGATAGAACGAGACGTCGCGCTGGCTCACCTAGTCAACATTCGCGATTCGAAATCGAAACAAACGATTGTGGTGACATGATTACCGCAACAAGGGTCTCGACGGCACCGGACGCACTCGTGTTGGTGCTGGGCTGGAACCCGAGGCCGAGGATCTTGGCGGCGCCCGTTTTGACTTGGGCGAGGAGCTGGCCGTTGGCCCAGTCGTGCAAAAGAATAGTGTTTTCCGCGTCCGTGCCGGCCGACGCGAGCACGGCTCCCGATACATTGAAACTAGGCGATGCTTTAGCACATAGATTGCAGTGTGAGGAAAGTACGCGAGCTCAACGACACCGCGCTTGTGCACGCCGCGAAGGGTTGAGAACACCGCCAGCGTCTACATCCATGACATCTGGTCATCTGAACGAGCCATGTGGGCGTACGTGGTGGTGCCAGATGTGGATAGACGGGTACTTGCCCACTTCGCCAGACGCAATCACTTCCAGGTTGGGGTGCATGGCGATCGACACCACCTGCAAATATGACAGTCGCATGTTTGATGCCAGTATCATACCTCGTCTTGGTGCTGCTTGAAGTGGCGCTGGGACCAGCTCTTCGTTTCGAATACCACGACGATCTTGGCGACCGGGTAGACAATGCGTCCTAGGCGTTGCTGAGACCTGCATCTATAAGCTCTATCCCGTGCCTTGCTTGGTGTATTTGATGTTGTTGCGGCAGTCATGGCCCCGGTACCCATACACCCACTCCATCTCCATGTGGTCGGTTGGCATCGTCGAGTCCTACGAGCGCTTCATATACTGGAGCGCGTCTGGCGCGTTCGTACCGGCTCGGGTGCCGCATTCGATGGCGCAATCGCACTCCCGACCCAAGGCTTGACCGGTTCGGCCGCATTGGTGCTCGTGTCGGACTGCTGCTGTACTTGGTGAAACAGCAGCTCCATCGCGTATTCGCCGACGTTGGACGCTTCCTCATATGGACTCCGCTCGATTGGAGCTTGCATCTACGAGGCATCGTGTCCAGCGTGCTACTTTCAAACGAGCACGGCACCTCCAACTCGTCGTCCGTGTTGGCGTGGTACTCAAACTCGGGTGGCGTTCCGTCTTGCACTTCGGCTTCGACACGCCATTGGAAGAGACACCGATCGTCTTCGCCGCTCGTAATGACAAACTGGTCGTCGTGGCTATAGAAACACATTGAAAATGCAGCGAAAAATAGGACAAACTGTACGAAAATTGAACGTGGCTCACGCGGCCGCAGTGGCCATTGTACTGGTGGTACACGAGATTGGTCGACGGCAGCGCCGGGTACTTGTACACGCGTACATGACCAAACTGATCCGCGGCGACGACAATCTGCTCCTTGTGGCTACGGTTGAGCGCGGTGACGTGGTAGCTCTTCTTCTTGGAGGGCCAGACACCTTGCACTAGACACCTCAAACGTGAGCGGAGAGGGATAGCGCTAGGGTATGGACCTGGCCAGCCAAAAATGGACGTGAACGTGGCCCACTGCACGTCCTTGAGCGCACCAAGTCGAGTGTTTTCGACGCTCGAGTTGGTGTCGTAGTAGACAATCTCGCCCTTGTTGGTGGCCATTTGAAGCCACTCGCCGGTCGAACTCAAGTCGAAATGTGAGAAAATGACGGCCGGGTCCTTGCTCTTGCACTTGCCTAACCGAATGGTTTTGGCCCTTTGTGAGCGTGAACCTCGACGTACCTTTGGACGCCCAGTCGTCCGTGTTGTACATGTAAATGACATTTTCGGTACACACAGCGAGCGTCGTGCCGTCACTCGAAAACTTGAGATTCGAAATGAACTTTTTCGAGTCTTTTCCTTCGTACTTGACGGCCAAGTTGGGCTCGTTGAGCACGGCAAACGCGCCGTTGAGCTGCTTTTGCGTCGGGGGAATCTCAAGTTCTGAGCCATACCCGACGGCAATGAGCTTGGCGTCCGGTGAGTAGACGCACGCGCGCGCCGGCGCTTCGAGGTTCACGAGGCGGAGGCTCCGGTGGTGCACGAGATCCCACACGCGGATGCTTTTGTCGTCGCCCACCGAGCACATCTAAATCAATGTATAAAGGAAGTGCACGTTACCCGCCGCACGTACCTCGTGGTTGGTCGGGTGCGTCGCCAGGCCACACCTAGCCGTTCAATATATTAGAAAATCATTTTCAAAAAAAGGAAAATGTACAATTTGCGCGCGCAGTGGCCCGAGACAAGGGGGCCGTAGTGCAAGTTGCAGCCATCCGATGTGCTCAGTTCGTAAATCTCGGCGCCGCCCGTGGCCACGAGCACTTTGGTCGCGTCCGTATTGGTCACGAGGCTGCGGATGCGTCCGAGAAAGCTCCCGAGCGCCATGATATCAAACTGCGCACCGGGCTCCATGCGTTTGCTCCAGATGCGGATTTTGCCGTCTTTTCCACCTGAAAGCACGCCGCCGCCAAACGCATAGAGCACGTTGACCGCCGACGCATGGGCGTAAATGACCTACGCATCCAACTGTGTGAAACCTGTACTTGATACCTTGATACAACATACTTTGATGACGTTCCGGCCTTCCCAGAGCCAAATTTCACCGCGGACCGTGCCCGTGAGAATGAGCTTCTCGCTTACGGACGTGGCACTCATGAGCGTCTGCATGCGCGCCTTCTTCCCGAGCACCCCTTGTCGGCTCGTAAATACGATTTCCGGTGATGTTTCGAGGCTCTCTTGGGCCCAAAAAGTCACGTGGCGCTGGCCGCAGGTCACAAACAGCTCTAGCAATTCCCGATTTCTTCCCGAAAAACGGAAAATGAAAGCGTACTCGGTGTCACGGCGTGCAACGCGAGCACATGGTAGCGCGACGTGCGCTCCGTGTGGAGGAGTGTGGGCATGCCCCGAATGTCAGTGCCACTCCATTGGTGAATGGCGACCGAATGAAAATCGTCGAGGCCAATCGATAAGAGCGTCCTAGAATATCGTGTCAGAACGTCCTTTCTGAAGAAGAAGATGGCACGGTACCGTTCGTCGGGCATCCAAGCAAGGTGCGCGACGCCACGCGTGTGAAAATTGCGGATCGTGCACAAAAGGGCCAGCGACGTCGCATCCCAGACGCAAATGTGGGGCCGGCGACCGCGCTCGCCGGACGCAATGATGCGCTTGTTCGGGTGCACGGCAAGGCTCAGCACCATGTCCGAGTGGTACTGCGCATACCTACTAACATATGACACACCATGTGCAACACTCGCAAGGCTACCGCTGCTTGTGGTCAATGTGGTCGTACACGACGACGACACTGGCGGCCGGGTACACTATCTCGTTGGTGGCAACGTACTGGAGGCATTGCCGCAGCGACGAATTCATGCCGTAGATCCAGTCGAGCTCCAAGCTCGGAAGCGGGCTTGCATCGGGCGATGAAGAGGACGATGGCGCAGCGTTGGCAACCGTGTTTTGCCACGGCTGCGTGAGCGCCGGCTCGTCGTTTGCCGCGTACTGGTACACGGCGTCGTTGGGCGTGTCCAAATCGATCTGGAGGCTCTCGTCCACCGAGTAGAGTGGCGTCTACCGCAGTCCCCGTTGCCCCGAGAACCGTCGAGCAGTCTTGTTCGTACCTGGACTTCGGTCTCAATGTCGCTGTCTCCGAGATCGTACAAGTCCATGGGCTCGAGCGGCGCATCGAAAAAGTTGACCCACCCGTTCACTTCGGGCGTGGTTTCGCAATATTTGATAAACTCGGGCAGCGTAATGTACTTGTCGGGGTGTTTTCCTGCAGTGAAAGGTACAATTTGCGTTTTGAAAATGGTCGTACCGGCGCTTTGAAAAGCCTGGAGGGCAATCTCTTCGAGCATGACCTCGGTCGGACAAGGCCGTGCAATCGAGAGCTTGCAGAGACCTAGTACGCGGAAGTGTCATGGATGCGAGAATGGGTACGCGAGGCGACCTGTGAGCGTCGACTTCATCGAGAGCGTGAGCTCGTCGATGGTGATTTCGCCGCTTTCGTTAAAGTCGTAGCAGTTGTACACGACTAGAGAGGGTCGTATGACACAGACAGGATGAGAATAACGACGCTACATGTGATCTTTTGGGGCACCGTCATGGCGCTAAGGAGCGCGAGCGCGCCGAGAAACTCGAGCGCATCAACGAGACCGTTCTAGTTGCGAGAGATGAGGATATGGAGGAGGATGGACCGGCGCCGGTACCTCGTCCGTGTCCATGGCCTCGAAGAGCAGCGCTGTGATGCGCTCCATCTCGGCCTTGGCTTTGATCTCAAACGTGTCTTGGAGCGGGCTGCAGATGTCGATCATCTCGGCCTTGTTGATGCCAAAGCCTTCGGCCACGTCGTTGAACGACTCCCAGCACTTGTTGACGTCCTTCTCCGAGACTAGATCGCATGAGATACCGAGGAAGAGGTCCATGGCCCATGGCCCGGCGCCTACTGTTGAGGAAGGGGAGACCGGCCTGTACGAAGGAAGCCTTCCCATGGAGCTGCCCCATGATGACCTTTCGTCGCTTGCAAGATTTGGGGTTTGCGATCCTGGAACGAGTATGCAGTATCACAGGTTTTCGAGAAAGCCTGTGAAAATTCATATTTCGTCCACCAAGGCGTCCCAGCGTAGACTTCGCACAGGTCGACGTAAAGACATACTAGTATGGACAATGTGTCTTTCACTGCATTCGACAGGATCCCGCTCGAATCAAACAGCATCCATTCCGAGGTGACGCTATAGTGTACTGCCGAACTCCGGTCCTTGCTTGATACACTGATACTTTTTTGTCGAGCATTACTCAAATGGCAATTGCATTGTGTATTAATAGTCGATGGACGGATAGTTTAGTCTGTGGCGGATAGTTTATTATCTCGCCAGATACGGCGCGATAAAATCTTTGGCTTTGGACACGCGAGCGTAGACAAATGGCGTGTCTCTGTGTCCACACTCGTAGCCCCAGCTCACGACACCAACGACAACGTCTTCGCCGTTTTGCGCAATCGTCAGCGGACCGCCCGAGTCGCCTTGACATACGTCTTGGTCTTGGACGCCACCAGCACATACGTTGGAGCTGCGAATGTGAGGGTACGTGCCCTTGCTCGCCGCTTGGATGGCCGCGTTGCACTTGTCGTTGTCCCAGATCTTGACGTCGACTTGCTTGAGAACGAGCGACGGGGGCCCGAGGACGCCGTTCATGATGCGACCCCACCCACGCACTGTGCCGACGGTGCCCACGGGGCTGTCGTCGAACGAAACTCGGATCGGCTTGATCGTCGACGGCGTCTCAAGCTCGAGAATTGCAAAGTCAAAGAACGGTGCGTCAAAGAGCTCGACGTACTCGGGGTGCATGATCTTGCGCTTGATGCGAATGCGCTCGCCGTCGAGGCCGCCAATGTTGTAGCGCGTGCCGACCGCGACGTAGTTGATCGAGTCGTCGACGCAGTGGCCCGCCGTGAGAACATAGGTGGGCGCAATGAGCGCGGCACCGCAGATCGAGAGACCCCAAGAGCTCTTGCGCACGCCCGCCATAAACAAATCGTCGCCACGCGGAACGGTGC